GTGCCCCCAAAATAAAGTTTATTAATTAAAAAAAAATAACATGGCAGCAGTAACGATGTTAAGCATAGAATTTCTTTAAAGAGGAAATTTTGGAAATACCCTTTATCTCAGTAAATTTGGCACAAATCATATTTCTCTTTCTCACAGTTCAAGAAGCATGGTTTTTCAGTATCACCTGGTAAACACGTCCATTTAAAAGGGGCAAACCATATTTACCAAGCTCATCAAACTGAGATACAAAACCAATGCCTGTTTAATATTTAGAATGAGAAAGTACTGTCATGTCAGCTGGAATACATGTGTTGGTGGAAGCAACATTTTTTTCTGTGAAGGCATGGAAAAATGCTTTATTATCAGAAGATTGCCTGGAGAGACTGAAATTTGAGGAAGTAGTAACTAGTTTTATGATTTGATTCTCAAATGATGTATTTCTCAAAGTGTAGGTTCATGGACTTCCTACATCAAACTACCAAGGGTGTTTATGAAATGCAGATTCCTAGACACTAACCTAGATTTACCTTATCAGAATCTCCAGGCATGGACCCAGAAACTGCATTTTTAACAAGCACTTTTACAAAGCAGAAGTTTGTAAACCACTGGTACTTGGATATAAGGTAATGATGCCCTTTCTCCACAATAGGGAAAACTTTGCTGATGGGAAATTTAACAACTCGAGGGTGTTGGTGAGACATACTTTTCTCTAAATCTACTTCGAGAGCACTGGTAATTTTAAACTCTGAGCCTCTGCTTTTCTCTGATTCCTTGACTATGTTAACTTTATTTAATTACTGTCAAGTCATCACAGAAAATTATTCCTTTTTCTCTTCATATCACTGCCCAGAGTTATTATATTCTTTCTATGTACTCTATAGAGGGATAATTACATACAGTGACAGTGACAGTTTGATGAGTTTTGACAAATGCATATATCCATGTAACCAACATTCCAGTTGAAAAATAGAATATGGGGCACCTGGGTGGCTCAGTTGGTTGAGTGACTGCCTTCAGCTCAGGTCATGATCCCGGAGTCCCAGGATCGAGTCTCACATCGGGCTCCCTGCTCAGTGGAGATCTGCTTCTCCCTCTGACCCTCTCTCCTCTCATGCTCTCTCTCTCTCAAATAAATAAAACTTAAAAAAAAAAAGACTTAAAAAAAAAAAAGAAAAATAGAATATGCTATCATGCTAGGAAGTTCACTAGGGTCCCTTTCCATTTTATCCCTGCCCCATCTATCCTGGCAACCACTATTATGATTTATATCCCCCCAGATCAGTTTTGCCTGTTCTTGAATGTCATAAAATAGTGTATTGATTATGGGCTAACCCCATAGTTGTTATAAAAGATGACACTCATTTTTCCAAGTTATTTTAAGAGAAACTAGACAACTCTTAAGAAACTCCAACATATTTCAATTTTCACTGGTAAAGGTGGAATACCTTAATTAAGATTTCTTTGCCTAGAGATATAAACAGGATCCTGCTGAGGACTTTACAAACTATCCTTCTGTAGCCAGTTAAACCTTCAATTAAAACCAGCTTTAATGTATCAGTTATAAAACTCTGATAGTAAAAGAGAGAATGCAATTGGGAGAAATTTTTCTGACCCAAAAGAATGATATCATGTAGATTCTGCAAGAATTTTAAGATCAACTTGCTGAAATATGATTAATAATAGTAGGAAGAAAGTTTGGAGATAGGCAAATGTATGCCACTTGATCCATAGACTGGACCACCAAGTCTGGTCCCAGATTAGATTCTAAAAGGGATCGGTAATGTTTTCCCCAAACTTGGGTTTCACCATACTCTTACACACTTTTGTGTTTTCAGCCCCATAGTCGCAGTCCTTATCAGAACCTAAAGGAATGTGACATCATTTGAGAAATATTACATCCTTTCTACCATCCATTATCATAATTCCCTGGGTCCATAACACTTTCTCTGGTTCTTACCGTTTTTGCATGCTTTCATTCTTCCAGTACTTGAACATTTCTCCTACTATTTGTGTGGTTCCATGTCACTCTTGTAGAATTGTCATTTGCCTCTGTCTTTCTCATCATTCATTCTGTATCCTAGCTTAAAGAGCTCTATGTCATCACTTTAATTTTTTTAAGAATCTCCCCACATTTTTCTCCTCACTGGAGTTGCCCAAGGTCATATTTCTGAGCACTTCCTGGTTCTGTCTTCTTTTGGAAACTTGTGGAATTGTGCCTGTATTTAAAAAAAATTAAAAGATAGGGGCACCTGGGTGGCTCAGTTGTTAAGCGTCTGCCTTCAGCTCAGGTCATGATCCCAGGGTCCTGGGATCGAGCCCCACATCGGGTTCCCTGCTCTGAGGGAAGCCTGCTTTTCCCTCTCCCATTCCCCCTGCTTGTGTTCCTTCTCTCCCTGTGTCTCTCTCTGTCAAATAAATAGATAAAATCTTAAAAAAATATATGTTGAAGTCTATCTTCCTAAAGTCCTCTGTACACATTTTATCCAGCTCAGTCTTGCCCTACTTTGAAGGTGATATGGCCATGTTCTTCCAGGTTCCCATCCCTTTCACTCTGAAGAATGGCTTCTTCCCATTGGTTGGAATCAGAGCACAATTATTTCTATTACTTCCTTTACCCTCTAGGACATGAAATTGTTAGGGAGACAAGTGAAAAACTCTGCTTTTATCTGAATGAAGTATCCAAATGTTATCTGTATTGTGTACGCTCTGCCAATTTTGTGGCTTTCTTCCATGTGGCTCAGCTCTGCATCCATGAAAACATCGCTTCTGTTCTTCTCTTCTTTCATCTTCATCCAAGTGTTCAGAGAGTCCTCTGAATCTATTGTTATCACAGCCTACAGTGCTGCTCCATCTCCTTCCAACAGGTCTTTGTGCACAGCATACCCTTCTATCACTGTGTTCCCATGGATCTGTTCCATCTCGCCAACTCTCAGTGGTATTTGTGAGGTCTTGTTTGTCGCCCTGTGCTAAATATCAAAGTTGCTGTGTTGCTTGTGTTCTGTGCATGATATCTGGACATCTGCTGCCTACGCTTTCTTTCTGATGTCCTTCCCAATTGTTTTCTTATTGAATCACTCGGCACCTCCCTCGCTATTGAAATTCTTCCCAGACCCTCCTTAATGTCATTCATGGAAACCCATTTCAGTTTAATCTAGGTGTTTTTTTCTCCCTTCCCATCTGTTTTCCATTTACAGCCCCTTTGGCCAGATGAGTTGGTATCTGACTAAACACATTCTTTTCAGTCTTTGAAAAATTCTCTTCATTCCCAGTCAAATATCTGTCATTCCTACATTTGAAGCTGTGGCCCTGAAATAAAAATTTGTACCAAGTGTGTACCTAGTGGTTCACTTTTCATATCATATTTTTGTTCTAAACATTTGTGCCCCTAAGTCTTTTATGTCCCAAATTTCACATCATCTTGAGATGCTTCCATAGTCTATTTTGATGGGCTTTCATTTCCCTGTAACTTGGCAGGTGATACCTTTGACCAGCCTCAGCAGGATCTGCCATGTGCTAGATTTGTACTCCATGAAGATAACACCCCTTCTTGCATGACTTGATTGTGTCAATTCACAGGCATTACTATATCCCTTACAAGGGGTTCCCCAAGTCCCAGTGCTTGGCTTTTCCTCCATAACTTTATCATTTCATTTGTCTTCTTCCTCTGTAGGAGAGCATTATTACAAGTGGTGTAGTACAGTAGAAAGGAATTTTGCTCTGCTACTTGTTATTTGGTAGCTAAGGAGGACAAATAAGTGAACTCTACAAGCCTCAGCTTCCTTATCCTTCAAATGGGGAGAGAATACTGACCTTATAGAGTTATTGTGATGATTTAATAAGATACTATATACGAGACCACTTTGTAAGCTAAAAGTAGAACAAACATAGGTTTTAAGAATAGTCATTAGATTATTTAGTTTTCCTCCCCGCTGCAGAGCACATGGAGCATGCATGAGAATTTGCTCAACATTGGCCCTAACCCTGTATTAACTCAGTTATTGAGTGCCTCCTGGAAGCCAGGTCCTCTGAAAGGAGAAACAAGGCATGTGTGCAAAACTTGGTGATGGAGTACTTGGCCAGAAAGAAACTGAATTCGGGAACATTTCCTTTCCCCAGAAGATTAAAGTCGGCATTGTGCTGGCCTGTAAGCTTCCTACAGTCATCTGTGCCATGCCTTGTTCTTTGGATTTTAACACTTGAACAAGTGCTTCTGGGCACCCAGAGGTCAGCCCAGTGGTGTGCAAGAATCTGCTTATTTTCTAGAACCCTGGATCTCTAGCTTATGCAGGATCCACCCTAAGCTAAATTCATCTGGGAATTAGCCACAGTACACCCTTATCCACCCTGACCATGATGGGATGGCATGGTTCTCTAGCAAGTTTGTAGGACCGGCATTAATAACAAATAACTATGACAGTACCAACTACAATTCACATGTTTTGAATACGTACCATATGTCCATACTCTGTTAGGCTCTTTATATACATCAGTGCTTTTCAACCATTACAAATTATTGCTCCCCTAAGAATGGCTCCCCGTTCTTAGACATATTTTTCTTAATATCCCTTCTATGACATTTTAATACCACAGATAATACCGGGTGCTTGTTTAGGTACTGTATGCATGTAAGGTACTTTCTATGATTTATATGTGAAGAGAGTGAGATTTTTTCACCTTCTCCCCCAAGAACCAATTTTCACCCCCCATTGAGGGTGATATTACCCCCATTGATAATGTGTGTGTGTGTGTGTGTGTGTGTATTCTTCCCCTTCCCTCAATCATTCCCCAAGTAATTTGCAAACTGTTTGCTCAATCCCTGAACCTATTACACAACTATTGACCCCAGGGAAAGAGACCTTAATTCGGAGGTAACAGCAAACACTCCATTTAAGGAAAGGCTGCATTTTCTACATAGAGCCCAGCCCCAGGTCAAGCCTGGACAGACCCCAGCTTGATGAAGTCTTGTGGTCTCTCTCACATACTGTTTTCTTTATGACCTCCTCCCCCAGGACCTTGAATGGATGCTGAACATTCCTTATCAGAAACCTGAGGAGGATACTAAAAAGACAGCCACAATTTTCCTTCTGCTTGCTGCCAAGTTTCTTGAGGTCCCAGCTGTTGGTGTAAGATTTTGTAGGATTTCATATATATATATAAAAGCACGCACACACTGCAATCTGAGGTTTCAAATGCTGTCTTAGTTTTCTGTATCAAAGGGCTAGAAAATATGGAAATGAGGGAATGTAGTAGAAGGATGGGTGAAGGAGAGGAGGAGAGAGAGAGGAGAGGTCGGAAGACTAGAGGGATGGGGGTGGGAGGAAGAAAGAAAAGGAAGAGGAAGTGTAATGGAAGGAGCAAGGGCCTTGCAATCAGACAACTAGCCTGGTCACTTTGTGACCTGGGGAAAGTTATTTAAATGCTCTAGGTCATTAAAAGAATTGTTCTACAGGGTCTATCTTTGTATGCACAATATCTGGCATACAAAAGGTGCCCAGTTATGTCAGCATTATTATTATCATCACACATACATATTGGTAATAAAAGGAATTGGAATCAAATAAGTTTGCCATTCAAGTTTTCTAATCTTAGAAAAGGCTTATGTGTACCAATACATATGGGCACAGCCGCAAGGGCATTCAGGACCTCAGGAGCAAAGGCTGACGGCAGAGGAGGACACATCTGGAGTTTCTAAGGGGCCCAAAAAAGAGCACTCCTGTTTCCCATTGCATTTTTAAACCAGGGGAGATCTAAGACAAAGGAGTCATCAGTGGAGGCCAATATATGGCCCTCATTACTGATCAATGCTACTTTACAGAGCTTGACTTCTATCTTTGAGCAAGTGGAGTTCTCAACATCAAACTCCAGCATTCGACCAACTTACTCACCAGCCTCAGGCAACACCAGAACATGGCAGCCTCCCCCATGTGCGGAAAGATGCCTCTTTCTGTGGGTATTCTCTAAGGAAAGGAACAGAAACAAGAGCTAGGCCATGCATGACTTCTTTCTCCTTCTAAACTCACCAACCAGGTAAGTCAATTCATCTCCCGGGGGGGGGGGGGGAGTGGGAGAGGAATGTGTGACGGAAAGAAGAGGCCAGGTGTGTTCTGCCAGTGGATATCCTTTGACCTGGACAAGATAAAACAAGAGGGGGCTGGATGTGAGAGTCCCACGCTCTAACTGGCTCAGAGGTAGTAATGCAAGGTGACAGAACTGGGAGAATTTCATCAGTCTGTAGAACTGGCCCTAAGTGGGAGGAAGGGATACTGTAGTATGCTTCAAACTGGTCAATAATGAGCAATCTGGGAAAAAAACGATACCCGTTTATAAGTTTTACTGATATAAAGGGTGTGTAGCACACAATTTATAAATAATAATAAAACACACAATACTCTCTTTCAAATTCCATGTAGCCAGTTGATTCTCACTGAATGTTCTCGCTGATTTTTGCTGAACTCTTGTATCCATAGCCAACCTGTGGTTGCAATTTAACCATGATTTGACAAGTGGAGTCATTTCCACCATCCAGATAACAATAGATGTGAATAACTCACAATCATAGACAATAGCAAAATGTAGTAGGATTATTGAGAAGTGATGAGTTTGCGTATTTATGACCTTTGTTTTTAATGTAAATTAATTGTATTTTATATCATATTGAGAAGTGATGAGTTTGCGTATTTATGACCTTTGTTTTTAATGTACATTAATTGTATGTTTATATCATATACATTTTAATAATGGCTGTGTTTAACAGTCCAACTTGTAAAAAGCCTGAAAATTTATCCAGTCAGCACACCACTGAGGAGTATCCAACAGTTCAAATGATGTTCAGCCCCCACCTAAGGAGATATTGGGGTGCCACAGGTGGACAGAGGGCAGGCGGGCTGCAGGGATTGCCAGGCATGAAGAACAGCATCCACCAGGGGGCAGTGTGGTTCCAGGTGGTCCCTTAGGCAGGGAGCCAGACCTCAGCCTGTGGTTACTAGAGGACTAAGGACAAGCACCAGGACCGGAGGCAGAAGGTTGAGACTTGGGGCTTCTCTCTGGGTGCTGACTGGAAACCAAAACACATGACCTGAGCTGCTATTGGAGGAGGGGTCAGGGGAGAATCATCCTGCTCCCTGCACCCATCTGGCTTCAGGACAGGGCAAGAAGGCCCATTGCAGACCCCACTCTCTGGTGAGGTGAAGACTCAATCTGGACAGGAAATGTACTTGGGGCTCAGAAGCTTGAGTGAGACAGAACTTAATTACCTAAAATGGGGTTCAGGGCCTGTCACTGAGAGGACCAGGGAGGGGAGACCAACAGTAGAAGCCAAGCAGAATTTTCTAGTCAGCTAAAAAATGTGGAGCCATGAGGGACACAAGCAGAATCACAAAAATCCATTTCCAAACTGCTTTCTTTCCTGCACACAGGAGCTGTGGTTGAGTTTTTAAGTGGGAGCAAGTTACGTAGCACAACATACCCATCAACAGAGGCTATGATATGATAAATACTTTATAAATTTATCCTAATTCCATTTCATATGCTTACAGTCACTTTCTAGAAGCCCCACTTAAGGCTTAAATGCCTCTTTTAGGAGTTTGAAGGTGTAGTTTCTTGGTGACTTACTTTTTCTCTATCCAAAATAAATCTAGCCACCTTAACAGAGCAAAAGCAAAACTAGTACCTGGAAAACATCACATTTTCTTGCTAATTTAGGCAAAATGGTCCCTAGAATTTTATAAACCATCCAAATCATTTATATAAAGTTTTTGTTTTTTCTCTACACTCACCTGTTAGGAGATTACTTCCTTGTTTTGTTTATGAAGGTCTAGCTTTGTCCTGAAACTTGAAAGCCCAGGATTTCAAAAGAGTTGTGTTTATCTCTTTGCTTACTTCAGTCATGAATTGCTCCTAGGCCACGGGAGAAAAGTCAGTTCATATTGATGTGTGGGCCTTAGGTTAATAGAAGATCAACAATTTTAGTTTGAGACGATAACGTCTTACCTTGTTATTTTTAACAGTTCATGAACTGTTAAGTTCAGTGATATATTAGAAATAATGGGAAAACAGCAAATTGTGGGTGATTAATGTCTAGCATAAATTAGTTCAAGTTGTTAAATAATTTATTTATTACAAACAGTATATTATGTCTATATTAAAAAGCTAAGTCATGTTTTATAGAGAAGAATAAGAGAAAAGATATCTAAAATAAATTAATGAATAGGATCACAGTATATATACTGTTTTATAACTCAAATATTTTTTACAGTACATAATTTTAAGTGTGTGCATAAGGAGACAATAGAGTATAATGAACCCTCGAACTTTGTAAATCTTGTTTCATCTATCGCTTTATAACACCATCGATGTGACATTTCATCTCTAAATACAGAACTTAATAAATAACAATATACCATGATCACATTTAAAAAATCATCGTAAAAATGCCATAGTATCATTCAATATACGACTGTTGTTCAAATGTTCTCAACTTTCAGGTGTGCGCGCACCTGCCTGTATGCGCACTTGGGACTTCTAAAGGTGATATAATATATTGCCGGTGGTTAATATGTCTCTTAAGTGTCTTTTAATCTGTAGGTTCTCCTGTCATTTCTTTTGTTTTTATAATTTATTTATTAAAGATAACTTCTTTTTGTTACTTACTAAATCACAAATATTTCCCCACCATTCATTAAGTCTTCATAATATTCCATTGTGTGGACGTTCCATGATTTATTTTCACAACCTTCTACTGTTGGATAATTAATTGTGTCCAACATTTTCCTAACATTCAATTTATTGTAAACAACACCCTAATACGTATATCTGTGGGAACTTGCTTGATTGTTTAAGAAAAATTGATAGATACAGAATTCCTGGTTGAAAGAATCAGTGTCTCTCTCTCTCTCAACCAATGCTTTTTCCAATGGTTTGCTTTACTTCTAAAGTAAAGGTATGGACTTGCTTTTGAATTTGATTTAAATTTAAACTCTCCAAAAATTGAGGATTCCTGTAGTAAATATTGAAACCATTTCTTTCTATACTGGTAAGGTTCAGGATTTGGTAAACAATCTTTCATTATGGAAGGGTCAGGGAGAGATTTATGGCCAGATGACTATACAGGTGTTGACAGTTGAAGAGCAGGTTAGACTGGAAGGTGTCATATGTCCTTAATGACCCACCCCTCTGGCTTGATGAGTCACTTTAGTTTGAGCCGAAAATGTCACTCTCTTTCATATGATTCATGAAAAACCCTGAGCGTGTATATAGAATGCCTTGGAAAATGTGTTCACTCCTTCTTTGATTGGCTATGCTCATACTCTGAGGTTACAAGAAAGTCTAGTCTCCTGGAGGGAAGGTGAGTAGTTGTTATTGCCACAGGATAAGATTCCATAACTTTCTTTGAAAGCTCCCAGGAATTCAATGTGGGGTTGCATGAATGGGAAGGGGGTGGGGGTAACGATAAAACAAGATCAGCCATGAATTGGTAACTATTGAAGCTAGAAGATAGGTACACGGTAATTCATTGTACTGTTTTCCCTGATTTGGAGAATGTGTGAAAATTCATGTCCATAATAAAAATTTAGAAGGTCTCCCAGAGCAATATGGCCAGTCCATGGCCTGTGCCCCTGGGTGGCTCTTTGGGGTTCCAAGTACAGCCCTTGAAGCAAACGTGAATAAGATTTCACAATAAATTATTGTAATGGGGTGTTTTTAAAGTAATAACAAGTCCTTGGAGAGATTTCAAATGATATTCTACACAAGCATGTGCTACCATTCACTTTTATTTCATGCAATAAATGAATCATACAGGAATATTTTACAAGGGAAATTATTGTGGCCCCTTGTCAATGACCCCAGAGGATTCTGCCTTATATCCTCTGTCAAGGAGACTACTCTTACAGTGCAGCCTTTTAAAAAAACCTTCACAATCAGGAAATTCTACTTTCTGTATAATCTGGTTTATAAAGGTACTGAAAACATGTATGGTGTACCAAACTGGGATACATGAGTTAATACTGAATTTTTTTCTTTTAAACTTCTTTTGAAAGCCAGGGATGCCCAAGGACCTCATACATAGTAAACCATCACCTAGAGTGGCTCTATAAAATTGGTGTCTAAAATTTTAATTGTAGATTAATCCCATGTTCTGGTGGAATATATTGTAGATCTAAAGAATGCTTACACTAGTTATATAGATATTTGATCTATTAGATGCCTCCTCTTAGTCGGCTAAGGACTAGGTGTTGAGAATGCAAAGTCAAATCACTTAACCAACCTCAGTGGTGATTCTCCGACATACAGAGAAGAGGGGATATTTCAATTTATGAGTCAGCAACCACTAGCAAGCAGATGGCTGATTTTTCTTTCTTGCCCCACACGCTGACAAGGAAACTAGAAAGCTATAACCCTTAATGAGCATAAATTAAATCTTGATTATAAAAGACCTCATTTCATAAAATAATAAAGATTCCATCCCTTCGAGGGAGTCTTCATTTTACGCATAAGGAAACAAAGGGTGAATGAGGCTTATCAACTCAAGGTTAGATTGAAATCATAGTTTGTTCTGATTTGATTACATCAAATGGCAAATTCTAAAATTCGTCTGGTGACTTCCTTTATAAAATAAGAGAACGTTTTATATTCTCTGTGAAAAAAATGGATTATATTCTGTCTGGCACCACCAACTGCTTGTTTCTCGCTAATACCAACATACACAATATCATTGCTATTTAGAGTTTGTCTAGAATTGAGGTATAATACGATGGTGAACAGAAGCCAGCTTCTGTCAGCTCATGAGAGCCTGTCTACACATCTCTTCCCAACTCTGTTCTGTAACATCACGTGGATGGCTTGAAATCAGGCATGGTGGGCGTGTTTACACCACATAAATTGGCACACACTGCAACCAGGACTTTTTTTTTAATTGGGAGAGCCAGTTTGCCAGTACACCACTTGATAGACAATAGATGCTTGATTGTCAAGGCTTTGATATTTGTAGTTTCAGCCAATTTACAAAGGACCATGAAGGCTCATTACATTCCGCCAAGATACTGATCAAGTCCAAAATCCTCAGTCTGGTCTGGCCATTGTCCACGTCTGGAGCTTCGCCTTTTTTTTTTCTTTTTGGTGCAAAATGGTGGTTTTATTAAAGCACTGGGACAGGACCCATGGGCAGAAAGAGCTGCTGCATGGGGGTCTTGAGGAGTGGCTGATTATATACTCCAGAGTTGGGGGGGAAGTAAGGAAAAGGGAGGTTTCAAAAGGGTTTTCATATGCTAAAGAGGAACGACAAGATAATGCTAGAGAGGAGCTACAAGATATCAGAGGCCTCGCTGTTGTAAAGGTTGTTTTCCCCTCTAGCAAGATATTAACATTAAGATAGTTGGGAGATTCCTGGAAGAATGTCACACATGTCCCACCCAGGAGTGGGGGTTGAGGAGAGGTTGCAGGGTGTCAACTTATGCTTTGTCTTCAGCTAGCCTTCTGCTCCCTCATCATTTCCCCCCTGAACAATTTTGACCCTTAAATCTTTAAGGTTGTTGAAGGTGGAAGGTCTTATATTCTATAATGTTTTCCTGCTGAATAGAGGTGTAGAGCTGTCCCTACCTATGGGTCAACATTGGTCAGTTGGGAAACATATGGGGGGGGGCAGCTGAATCCAACGCGGTCAACATAGATGAACCTCCTTGAGTAGAAGGGATCATCTGCTGGAGATTATGGCAGTGAAGGAGTCTTGGCACTAGGCAGGGAGACACCGGAAATGACAACAAAATAAGGTTAATAGTGTAATGAGAAAGAGAAGTCTGAATAAAAGACCTTTGATAGTTGGCCTTTGATAATCCAGGAGTTTAAAGCAACCACTAAAGGGAAGAGAGATCAATGAAAGCGCTAATTCAAGTATTCATGGCAGAAACTCTGGAGCTTCACCTTAGGTCATCCTTCTACCTGCTCACTGTTCTTCAGACCCACAGACATGCCTTCATTGCTTTGAAAACTTCTTCCCCACATTTGGATTTTTTACAGTTTTCTCTATGCTGCAACCCACCTGCTCCTAGTTAACACGTACATGTCCTGCAGCTCGTAGCTGAATTTCCACTTCCTCAGGATAGCATTCCTAGACTCCCAAAGTCTAGGTCACGTACAAGAGTTAAAAGCCTTCCTCACAGGCTCACTCTTAGCCTTGTAAGACAGATCACAGTCTGTAACTCTGTGCCCATTATAATTGTTTGATTCAGGGTCACCTCCTTACCCTGGGCAGTGACTCCCATGGGAGGTGGAGCTGTGTCTGGTTTTCCTCCATGTGCTTTCCCTACTAACTAGAAAGCATAGGGCCTTTTAAGTTATGTATTTGGAAAATAGTCCAAAGACTCAGGAAAATGTGGAGAATAAGGTAATAAGCATCTGTATACTTTATCAACCAGCTTTAACCTCGACATTTTGCCAGAATTGTTTCACTTTTTTTTTTTTTTTTTTTTTTAAAGAACAAAAACATTGCTATTCTAACTAAACCCCTTGTGAATTCTTCTCAATCCCATAGCCGTCTTTTCCTCCCTGGAGAAAACCCTTAACACAAAGGTGGTGTGTATTCCTCCACTGGAAGAAGCTGTAATTTGCCTGGGAAGGTCCATCTATGTGTACATTTGAAGAGATATTACTCATCTATGCCAGCATATGTGGTGGCTGGAAGTGAGCAAAAGACCCTTACTAATGAGGATTTATGAATGGCATGCTTCTTAGAAAGGGAATTAACGCCCTGTTTGGGTCAGGATTTCCCAATATGTAGTGTGAATCAACCATTTTATTCTGTTTTTTAAAACTCCTTTATGATTTGTTTGAAGTTGTCTAAGTTCTGACATTAGTTTGATTTGTAGACCCTTTAAGCTCCATTAACATAAGATGACAAAGAGGAGTGTTGAGTTGTGGTAAAGAGCATGAACCACTGGGGTGAAGTCTTTATTAGCTGTATGATCTAGAGCAGAGCGATCCCTGAGCAGCGTTGCTGGCATCACTGGGAAACTTGTTAGAAATGCACATTCCTGGCGCTCACCCCAGGTCCCCTGAAGCTGAAACTCAGTGGTGGGGCCCAGCAATCCGTTTTAATCAGCCCCGTGGCTGATTCTGGTGCCCACTATCATTGGAGAACAACTGATCTAAGGCAAGAAATTTAAGCCCTCCAAGCTTCAATTTATTTATCTGTAAAATAGAAATGATAATCCTCAAGACACAGGATCTTTGTGAGGATGAAATATTAGTTAACATTTATGGAGCACATCTCCCAGTGCCAGGCACTGTTCTTAGCACGTACCATATTTTATCTCATGTAATCCTGAAATTAACTTCATCTCAAATAAAGATTAGAAAAGTACCTAGCACATAGGGAGCAGTCAATAATTGTTACTATTATATTATTACCTTTCTGAGTTGTAAAAGATAAAATGAGATGATATAAATACTGAGCACAGCATCTAATACATAGTATATGCATAACAGGTATTAACTGTTTGCACATAAAAGTATTTGTCTGAAGAGTAAACATTATTCACATGGGTCTTTATGGGAAGTGGGATGGAGTCTAACATTTTAGACTAGACTGGACTAACTGACAGGGAATCTCCCCCTGGAAAAAAAGGCCATTACAGAAAACGTTTTATAGATCACATTTCAACATTTCTTTTTGTGATTTGTCAAAAATCAAGGAAGCCAAAGAGAGCTCTTTGAACTAATTGGGAGGGCCAAGAAAGTAATAACTACTCTCTAATTAAGCTGGTAATAGCTGCCCTCTATTGGTGAGATCAAAGGCCAGAGAAACACTGCCCATGAGGACTTTGGAAGACAGGCTGCTCTCTATGATGATAGCCTTGAAGTTTTGGACCCTCCGAAGTAGCTCAGAGAGAGAGAATTGTTCTGTCTGTGAGGGTCCGAGAGAAAGAGGGAGAAGGCCCAGGTGGATGGAGAACACTTAAAGGTTTGTTAGGCAAGCGTTCGTTTGTATTTGGGCATTTATATTTGTTTCAGAATCTAACTTTGAATTGTGTCTTCTAAAATAAAGAAGTCAAAAAAATGCAAATGAAATGAAATGAACAAGTCACTAGCTGTGGCTTTGCAGCTTTATATAAAGAATTCCTGAGTATTGGAAAAGAACTGCTGGAAAAGCATGCTCTCCCTCTGTCTGCTGTGAATGGGACACCTTTCCTGTCTGCACTCTCTTCCCCAGCAAAGCTGACCTCTCCATCTTTGTGCCCAAAACCCCACTGGCTTCTCCTCTCATGACACCTGGTACGCACAGAAGCGCTTGGCTTTTTCGTGGTCTACACCAGAACTGCCCAGTCATGCAAGTTACATTTTTTACTTAAAATTTTTTTTTAAGTAGACACTAAAAAAAGTGAAAAGGAACAGGTGAAATTAATTTTAACAATGTAGTTTATCGAGACCACAATATCCTGAATATTACGGCTTTGATAGGTAACTAATGTATAAGTATTAAGGAGATATTTTACAGTTTGGGGACGGTACCCATTCTTTGAAGTCTGGTGTGCATTTTATACCTACAGCACATCACAATTTGGCTTAGCCCCATTTTGAGTGCTCGATAGCCACATGGGGCTCGGGGCTCCCGTGTGGGACGCTATGGGGCTAGAAGGCAGCATCTAACCTGTCTTTGCACCCACAGTGCTTTGTTCAGTGCCTAAAGCCAATGTCATTTCATGGGTAAATGTGGCATGTAGAATTCTAAGATCACGTCCAGCGATCCTTGCCTTTGTATAATCGTTTCCTCTTTGAATGTGGGTGGAACATATAACCATGATGAGATATCAATCTATTGATTATGATATGTTATATGGCAAAAGGGAGATTATTTGGGTGGGCCTGCTCTAATCAGGTGAGTCTTTTAAGAGAGAGAAACATTCCTGCTGGCCTAGAAGAAAGCATACATACACCTATGTAGTGAACTGCCAATGGAAAGGAGCAGCCTCTAGAAACTGAGACAGGTCCCCAGCCAATGAGCTAGAGAGAAAACAGGGACCTCAGTCCTAAAACCACAAAGAACTGAATTCTACCAACAACTAGTGAGCTTTTAAGAGCACTCTGAACTCTAGATGAGAACTATAGCTGACACTTTGATTTCAGCCTTGTGAGCGCCCCCCAGCACAGAACCTAGCCATTTTGGGCCCAGATGACCTACAGAACTGTAAGCTAATACAGGCATATTGTTTGGAAGCCACTAAATTTGTTGTAATTTGTTACACAGCAGTAGAAAAGTAATGCAGTAAATAAATGTCATAATTCAGCAACATCATCCAGCTGGTGGCAAGGTCTCTAAACCGTAGGCATAGTCCCTCAGAGGAATTAGTAACTTCTGAACTTTAGACTTAAAAATCAAACCAGTATCATGATGACAACATATTTATTTAATCGTGAGTATTAGCAATCTCAGTGTTTGAGTGAGTCTCTCTTTCCCAGGGCCATTTGTATCAGAGGGAAGAGCTAAGTGAGAGGCAAAAAAACAAAACAAAACAAAACAAAACACAAAAGACAAAGCCTCTGGAAATAAGTTTGATATACTTACCTTGTAAAGGAGTGACTGTTGATTAGAGGCAAATACAAAAAATGACGACGATAATAAGGATAGCTCACACTTTTTGGGTTTGTACTCTGTGCCAGGCATATCACCCACGACCCTGAGAGGCAGATGCGATTATTACCTTCCTTTTATGGATGTGGAAACCAAGTTTAAGAGGTAGGAGGAGATTTAGCTGCATAACCAGGCGATAAAGGTAATTAGGAATTAGGAAGGAAGAGGAAGAAGAGGTATTTTTGGATGAAGTACTCTTCAGAACAGATTAGCTTGACTCTCAAATGCAGCCCTTTCTCTTGGATGACAGAGAGCTCTGTTTCCTCTCTGTTAACAGGTTCTCTTCATACCCGTTCCTTCTAACAAGGTGCATTTCCCAAGTGGTCCTCAATCTCTGCATTCTGCCTTTTACTTTCTCCTTTGGGGAAGTCGATGAGTCCTGTCACTGCCAATAGTACCTCTGGTCCTGGCTGTGAAAGGTACATCTTGAACCCTATTGTTCTGAGTTCCAGCCCTCCAGGGACATTTCCACTTGGATGTCTCCCTGTCCTCTCAAGTTCAGCTCAGTCAAGGTGGAGTTCAGCACTATGCCCTGAAAACCAGCTCTCCTCTGTGATACTCTACACCTGCCAACAATTCCATAACCACTGGCTAGTCCACCAGGCTGCAAACCCCAAAGACTCTTCAGCCCTTTCTCATCTCCGTTCCCTTTAGCCAAACTACTGCTAAAAGTATCTTTCCAGAATGTTTGCTCAGCCATTCCTTCTACACTCTCCAACCTCCTCAGTCCTTTAGTCCACTGCCCTTCTTTACTGTCTTCCTTATCCAGCTTTGATTCCATGGTGCATCAGTTCCGTCCCTCTTGCCAGGGCCCAAATCCCCTTGCCACTCTATTTTCATCATTCCTATTTGACATGACTTGAAGCCAACCATCTTCTTGCTCTCCAACGAGGAGACTGAGTGGTACTGAAAAAAATTGCACAGAGGAAAGATAAAGTTAAGGTAGAAGCCTCTCTTCTAGTTTCCACGGAGGCCCCAAGACCAAGGATGCCAAATACTGTCACATTCCAGAGCAAATTATTGGCTCCTCCCTATGCATGACTCCTAAAGAAGGTGGATGAAACAGGTTTTATGATCTTTATCTTTCACTTACCTTTAGCTGTGAGTTTTTTCTATCTGATACTCCCTCCTACTTACCCCCCTAGCCATGTGGGAGCTTCATAGTCGTCTTTGATAGGTAGCTTTTGAGGCTTGGAGGGTACAGACAGACATTTAGACTCATGCCTAGGGGAAAAAAGTCTTTAATGAGAGGTTTGCTGAAGTGAACTGCGTGTCAGCACAGCAGAGGGCTGCATTTAGGAAATAACCACATTCTGGCCTCTGCCAGGTCAAAGCTGCATTTTTTTTTTCAGGGGCCAAATGTCACACCGACGGTAGGAATGTGAGTCTGCCTTGTTTAGAAAGGAATCTTGACCCAGAGGGCTTCCTGCAATCGATGAGGTATCCTTGGCAAAAAGAGGTCAGGGGTTCCACTGGGTGGAGAAGCAGAAGGGAATCATATGGGGCTGGTTCGAGGAGAGGACCGCCTGAGACAAAGGAATTACAGATGGAAGGGGTCCAAGCAGGGGAGCATCTGAGGAGGCTGTGGATATGATCCCATGAGAGGGACATCAGTCAAGGGAAACTACACCAGCTTATATCTGTGTCAGTCAAATAAGGCCTTCCCTCTTCTTACCATTCTGTTGCCTTTGCCCCCATCCTGGAGGGTCCATTAGAAGTCAGGTGGTGGGGGGAACGGAGCAGCGGTCAGGGAGAAGTAGCATGAATGGGGAAATAGAGATGAACATCCCATTCCCCACTGCAGGCTCTTTGGGATGAAGTGACCAGAGGACATTTTGTTATCTGAGATGATCACAGTCAGAAGACCTTCCTAATGTTTCATCTGAAGGGTGGGGAAGAGTAGGCGCAAAAGAGAGGATTCAGATGGGCAGTTGGGGGTGAAGAATAAAATTGTTTCTCTTTGCATCCTCTGAGTCCAGCTTGCTCAGTGAGACCATTCAGTTTGTATCACTGAAATAATCTCAGTCCACAGTCATCCTTGAGGCCATGGCAATATAACACTTTTCTGGTGGGTGCACTGTCCTATTCTCTGCAAAGTTACCTTATGCTTCTCTACCTTCCTTGATCCCTGAACTTCACACTGGCCCCTTACTCTCAGATGATCTTGCCTCACTCTTTGCAGAGAAAATAGAATCTGTCAGATGGGAGGAAATTCTCTCCATTTCTTCTGCATCACTAAATGGAGTTAACTATACTTAGAGTGTTAATTGTTAATTGATGCATATATTGTAAGTATATAAAGGTTGGTTCCACTATTTGTCAATAGTATATTCTCTTAGGCAGGTGGACTATTTCCTTCATAATCTTATTCTCAATATCAATTTGCCTATCATCTCATTTTCATATAATGTAAAAATGAACTTTTAGCTCAATTTGAAACTTGGAAACTTTTTCCATTTATATTAAAATCTATGAGAAGATCTAAAGTCAAGTTTTAATTTATCTGTATTGCGTTCTGCAAAATACGTCCACAAGATTACCATTTGTATGGTATTTTGCAATATTTGAAATAGGGCATTTCATGCCTTTGCCATCACCCTCAGAGAGCTTTTCCAGTCTCAATTCTCTTATTCCATCTAATTACAATTTCATTTTAAAAGCAGTTGGGAGCATATATACCCTGAGCATTTAAAAATGTTACATTTAATGTATGTAATGAGTTTTTAATTCCAATATAACTAACAAATATAATTGAAAAACAGAGTTGCTAATGGAAGCACGTTTCTCTATAAAAGTAATTTACATTATATAAAAGAATTCTAAGTTCATTACAGAAATTTTTGAAAATCACAGGAAGTATAAAGAATGAAATAAAAATCAGCCATAATCACACCACCACTCTCACACTCATTTTTGAGATCTTCCAGTCTTTTCTAGTTTTCAAAGTTGGTATAATAATGCACACACATTTTATTATTTATTTTACTTTATTTTATTTTAATTCCAGCATAGTCAACATACAGTGTTGTATTAGTTTCAGGAGTACAATATAGTTATTCAACAATTCTTTATATGACTCTGCTCATCGTGATAAGTGTACTCTTAATTCCCATCATCTATTTCCCCCATCCCCTCACCCACCTCCCCTCAGGTAGCCATCTGTTTGTTCTCTGTAGTCAGTCTGTTTTTTGGTTTGTTCCTTTTTTTTTTTTTTTTTACTCTTTGTTTTGTTTCTTAAATTCCACATATGGGTTAAATTATATGGTATTTGTCTTTCTCTGACTGACTTTTTTCACTTAGCATTGTATCCTCTAGATCCATCCATACTGTTGCAAATGGCAAGATTGCATTCTTTTTGATGGCTGAGTAATATTCCATTGTATATATAAGCTATATCTTCTTTATCCATTCATCTATTGATGGACACTTACGTTGCTTCCATAATTTGGTTATTGTGAACAATGCTGCAATAAACATAGGAGAATGCCAACATATTTTAAAACCCTGCTGTTTTTCATCAGAACATTATATTGAGGCCATCCTTTTTCTTTGCTATTGAGTCCTCTCCAACAATCTGGTTTTGGGGACTGAATTGTATTCCATCACATTATAATCTGTTATAATTTATTATATTATTGTCATGTGACATGTAATCTGTTCCTATTATAATTTCTTTAACAACCCCCAGCATGCTTATTTTTTTTTTAAGATTTTATTTATTTATTTGAGAGAGAGTGAGCAAGAAAGAAAGAGAGAGAGAGAAAGAGAGTGCATGAGCCAGGGGAGAGGCAGAAAAGCAGACTCCCCACTGAGCAGGGAGCCCAACGTTGGACTCCACCCCAGGGCTCTGGGATCATAACCTGAGCCAAAGGCAGACACTCAACCAACTGAGCCACACAGGCACTGTGCTTATTTTTAGAAATAGAAAAATCTAGTATATCCTTGGCTTCTGGCATGTATTAAGTTTTGGTATTTTCATTCTACCATCAATAACCTTAACTTAGATTTTTGCCAGATTGCATACTTCTTAGTCTAGCAAACAATCATAGTCTTGTTTTAAATTCAGCAAACATAAGAAGGCCACCAAGATCTTTAGGTTTCTGAAATTGTGGCCTCCCTTCATGGTATCTCTTTCCCCCTTTCTGTTACTTCCTAATACCTTATTATCCAGCTTTCCCCCCATTGAATTATTTTTACTCCTTCCTCCATCTCTCTTCAAGATGGAGTTTATTTCTGTTGGATTTTTCCTTCTTAATGTTCATTGTAGAAAAAATCAGATATTGCACATAAGGCTGGTAGGCCTTATGTTTGTATATTTACATTTGCAAATATATATTTACCTGCATATCAAGGGTGGAACCATCTGGTGAGAGATTCATATATACCAAGTTCATCCCACTGATGTATAAAAGGAGAATGCTATTTTTTAAAATATTTATTTATTTGTTTTAGAAAGAGAGAGAGAGAGCATGAGTGGGGAGGGGCACATGGAGTGGGAGAGAGAGAATCTTAAGCAGGCTCCAAGCCTTGATCTCATGACCCTGAGATCGTGACCTGAGCTGAAATCAAGAGTCAGATGCTTACCCAACTAAGCCCCCCAGGCGCCCCAGAATCCTGTTTTTTAATTTACCTATTGAGAAATGGAGCTGACATGTGGTCTGAAATACTTTAATATGACTAACACATTCCCTTACTGAAGGAAGACCTTCAAGGAAAGCCCAATCATAAGAAGTTTGCTTAATAAGAATGAAATCAGAGGAAGGGTTTTGGGATTAGACATTCAGAATGTCCAGTGGCAACAGGCTAAGGCAGCCTTATGTATGCATTGTTATAATTAAGGTTAGATGTGGGGTTAGGGTTAGGATGAGAAACAGAAATTATGACTGAGAAATTCATCAAGGGAATGAGTACTATCTTGACATGACTCTTGTATTAAATCCCTCTGCCTTCCCATGCATGGTGCACCCTGCTATCAGAAACTTCTGCATTGATCACTTGCTTCCTTCTTCACCCTCTCTCCTTCCTCCTGGTCATCCATGACTTCTGCTTTCTTCGTCCTTCTCCTGTATCTGATTGTTTTTTCTCTGTCTTCTTTCCATGCTGACTCTTAGTCTTACATCTCCGGAGTACCACGTATACAAATTCAGTCCTGGGCCTTCGGATAGTCATTCACGTGGCTCCTGATGTTAATGTAACACTCTTCTCTTTCCAGACACAAGCAAGACATCCTGCCTTTCTTGTTGGGTGGGGCCACGTGACGAGTTCTGGCCTTTGAGCAGGAGCAATATCTGCCACTTCTGGGCTAGAGCATTTAATTATGGCTTTAACTTTATCCTCTAATTAAGTGAATTCCAAATCTACCAAACTAAACTTAATTGATCACCTGAGCTTAGGTCCCAGTTTCCTAGTTACCTTGCAATCGGTTGTTCCGTTTTCAAACCCACTCAGCATTTCTGCCTTTGGAGGCACCTGGCATCCTCAGTTCCCATGGCTCTGGGGATTCTGAGGCATGAACTGGTTTGCTTCTCGTTGACTCTTTCTCCCGTACCCCCTTTCTTTCCCCTCCTTGGATTTCCATTCCCAAAGTATTGTGACTATTTATAATCTGCTGCCATCTCCTTTTTTCTTTTCTTGTGGGTTCATGTTTTATTTTTTCTTTTAAGTGTTACTGTCATTTTAGAGGAGTTCGGGAAAGGAAAGGCAAATTTGTATGTATAATCTTTCATATTTACCAGAAATCCATTCACTTACTCTTTCTTTCAGTTTTTATTACATCTCTCAGAGCACTCCTGAGTGTGTCTTGAACCCCACAGGGACTTGATACAAGTCAAAGCAGTTGTAATATGGTAAGTGTGGCTTCCCTGACCCAAAGAGAAAAAAGGGCAGAGATTAAAATTACCATGCATGAAAATTTCTGAAAACAGCAGATAATGCAATATTTAACCCAATTTTCTTTTCCTGCATTCATTCAAAACTTGGTGAGCACCACACTCAGATTTAGGTGCTGGGACATGGATAAAATGATTAGAAATTTTAGAGTTTCTCGTGGTGAATTTCTTTTGTGTTTCTTCATATGCCACGTGGTAGTTCAGTCACTAACGTAAGTTGACCTTTGTTTCCAGCTGGAGGTTCAGAGAGGAGTGACTGTCTTTTTATAGAGAGAAAACAGCTGTGCCATCATCCCATTTGCCAGGAGAGAGGAAAAAATTGCCAAGGGTTCCTGTGTGTCATTGGCAAGAACAGTGAGATGCTGGGGCAACACAAATTATTCCAGAGGTACAGACTCCTCTGTCAATTTCCAAGAATTAGCTTTATCCACAAAGACCCTGATGGAGGGCCTGAAATTCCTCTTTGGACCAGCCAAAGCATGGCCTTTTACACAGAACACTTCATGATGCCAACAGATAGTTTCCAGAGAGGAATTGGGAATTAAGTTGAGCTCTGGTTGCGGATGATTCTTTTTCATGCCTAGCTACCCAAACAAAGAGAGTGAGCCAGAAGCCAAATCTGTGAGTGAACACACAGAATGGAATTGGTGCATGGGAATGCATGGGGCTCTGCCTGATTAAACTGCTGCCAGAGCGCCAGGGGACCATTTCTCTCCACCTCCCCGGCTCGGCTCGCTCAACTTTTGGCAGCTCTCTCTTCCCTACCCCCGCCATCCCCTTCCCCATGTCCTCAGATCCATGTGCACTGTTGTTTGGAAGAGGCCCAACTCACACAGATTGGCAGCACTGTAATTGGTGTTTTACTTACCTCTGCCTCTCTTCTCTCCACGTTTGATCATTCTCATAATGACAGCTTATTTTCTCTCTCCCTTTACCATCGGGAAACAAAAAGGAAACTCTTGAAAGAGTTGTGGAGTTATATTTGAGTTTTCTGATGTACCGCTATGGAAAATACAATTCATATTTTAAAATGTTTTTTTCACTTCTGTCCCCCCTCCACCCCTCCCCCCTGCAACCCAAACAGTCAGCCCTGATGGGAAACATTCATGTTGAGAATTGATTTTCCCCTCAGAAGGTGTTGTGACTACAGCAGTGACGTCCTCGAGAGTTGGCATGTCAAAATGTTGATGTTCTCATTGAAGACCTTCATCATTGTCATCATTGTTGGTGCCTTCATTTGCTAGCCTCTGTTTACGTGCATTTTATTTCAAGTGATATTTCTTGGGATAATATTCACAAGGGTTTAGGGCTCCTGGAATGAAAAGTGTTATATAAACTGAAATGCTTGCCACCAGCTAAAGGTAATCTCTACCGCACACACCACACCAGGTGGTCGTAACAGCTCACATGTGCACAGTGTTTCTAGTTCAGAAAGATTTTTCACGTCTATTGT